TCCATGGTTTTTTTCCTCCAATTAGTTGTTTGTATCACCCATATCATAAGTAGGATTTATTAAACTGCTATATCAGAGCATTCAAACACTCTTATAATGACATATGAGACAGGTACTGAAATGTTTCATCTCCATCTCTCCTAAAATCAGTATTTCAAATATCAGAATGACAATTTTGAGAAGTGTGGTAAGCCATATACTTTTCAGCACCCTCTCATCTAATGACATGACAAATTCTGACACTAGAAGAGTATATGAAATAATGATAACCAGTTAATATTTTAATATGAATTACATACAAACCCTGTATTTGTAAGACCATTGACCATACCTCTACTCTACCACTATCTACTTTTTCATAAATGTTTTATGCTTTAACAAAGAAAAGCATTTGATCAAGAAACACAACCTAAGAAAAAAAATTCAGCCAAGTTTTTGCAATTAATCTTTTGTTGTGCATTCAAATTTGATTTTTTCAGAGATCAAATATTAATACTGACAAAATAAGATTATTATATATATATATATATATATATATATATGTGTGTGTTCCTATTGTTTTACTATTGAAATTCATTTCAAGTAATTTTATTACATTGGAAATCAAAAAGGACAAGTGACCAAAAATGACTGACAATGGAGATGTACATTTTTAAAAGTGTAATGAAGCTAGATTTTTTAACCAACTTTACAGTGATTAAAGTTTACTAGTATCATTTTATAACTATTATACACAAAAAAAATATTCTTTATTAAACATATCATTTACAAACATAAACTCAGAATTATATTTTAAAACCTGCAGAACTTTTCTGACAAGTAATTTGATATATTTTAAAATAAACATAACAGATTTGCTTTCTTTAGAAAGGTCAACAGTTCATTTTTGTCAATGTGACTTTGTTTGATTTTTGTGTATCCTTAATAGACAGTTTTATATAATTTATGGCATACATGAAAAATCTAAGAGTAGCACACTTGTAAAAATCCATGACTTCCTAGAGACTGTAACAATATATAATAACAATTTCTTGTATCCACTGATTGATTGACATGTTTAGAGTATTTGATACAGCTATGCAAGCATATATATGAGCAAGGTGGAATACTAAATATATTTAGTACAAACACTCGATACCTAGTAGTAATTTCCAATTTAAAACTCGTGAATTTCATAAAAGCTAATAAAAGTTGTAATTAAAGTTTTTCTTCACCTTTTCAATCTCGATGAATATAATGAAATATCAAAAAATATTTAAGTACAAACAAGTATATCAATATAAAGAGGACTTGAAAGTATGGATTAAATCCTACAATGACTAAAGGACAAATAGGAAAATAAATGTTAACATTTCAAAAATCAAAACTGTGTCCTATATACACAACCAATGAAAATAATATCACATAGTTCTGATAAAGCTAAATTAGTAAAAATGTTCAATTTATTGAGATGTATCATCAGTGTACACTTATTTATCAAGCTTTCATTTTCTTTCTCTTGCAGGAAGTAATAATGATGTTGTTGTCTCTGGTGGTAATAATCACTGCCTTCTACATATTGTTCTACTGGTACCTGGGAGAACAAATGGAGACTTCAACATTCCACAAGTCTTCTGAAGTTTAATGATGGACCATCCCTGGATCTTCTCCCACAACACTCCTCCAAAGGAGACTTCTATGCAAACTAAATTTGAAAACTATGAATGATGAAACCATAAACAGATTTAATATAGTTACAAAAAATTTTAAAAAAAAACTAAGAAAAAAAACTCGCATAAAGAAAAATATGAAATATTCAATTGAGAATAATTTAAGTTTAAGGAAATATTCTCTTTATATAAATTTACCATGCGACATGTTTTATAGCTAAAATCTCAAATTAAGACTTTATTCAATAAGTAATTTGGGGGTATTAACATTTTTAAGTTTTTTTTGTTTGTTTTTTTTTTAAGTATTTTAATATATAAATGGTAGGCAAGACAATGTTATTTCATCACTATGACTGAATTTAATAATCTAAAATATTTTTAAATAGAATTTGATGCATCATATAGCATACTGAAAAAAAAAAATACTGAATTATTGCTTAATAAATAAGCCCCCTTAATTTATTGGAAGAACAGCCAACTAAACCTTTTTATTTTTTTAACTTGGGTTTCTAATTTTGTTTTATGGTGATTCTTTTAAGATTGAAGATGCTCATGTAATATTAGAAGTAGAGAATGCTTCTCTCTCAATAGCTGTTGAAATGCAGACATGCTGTCAATTATTTCTCTTTTTTTTTTTTTTTAATTTAAAAACAATTGCTATGTAAGATCACTTAAGTGAAAAAACTGATTTCTTACATTTTTCATCTTAGAAAAGTCCAAGTTGAGATATTTTTAAAATTAAGGTAAATTTCTTTACATGGTCACTGTTTATAAAAATTATCTATAAGACATGCAGAATATTAAACTGATGAAACCACTACAGAAGAAATATTTTTAGATTTATCGCAGTTATTTTAATGTCTAGTTAATTTACTTAGTTACATTTTTTTTTTTTTGTGTGTATGTGTTTTGATGGAATGTGAAATGTATCCCAGAGAATACTCATGAAAGAAATTTTAGTTGATTATGGATTTAAAAAAAAAAAATTGCACCTTGTATGTCATTACATACTACATTTTGTTTACCTCTAATCATGATTGCCCTAAAAAGCAAGCTTGGTAATTTTTCTTTTCTACCCCTCCATTCTTGTTTAATTTTTTTTTTTTCCTTGGGGGAATCAATTCCATGCTGTGATAGGGGGAAATGACATCATTTGTGCCTCTGTAATATATGCAACACTTTTATTCATACATCAGTTTTCAATAAAATATCTTTTCATGTATTTTGTTAGTTGTGATTTTTATCCAGCTATTTAATTTGATCTTCACAATGCAATATATAAATGGTAGGCAAGACAAACTTCTGAGATTTATCTTGCTTTCATCTTGACGTTTCAACTACTCAGCGAGTGTAAAAGTTCACTGTGCTTCACTCAGCTTTCCCATTGGACACTTTATGGGTAGAATTTTAAAAAAACTTAAATGCCTAATAGGTTGTCATGTGGTGCTTATTATCTATGTTGAATACACGTATACTCAAAGAATAACAAGGGGCCATAACTCTTGGTGAAACTACAAAATTGAGAATGGTAAATCGTACAAACAAGGAATATACCATAGAATAGTTAAAATATTAATACAGAAAAGTAGTGGCAGAAACAAACAAATTAGTTCTATGGACTGCAACTGAATACCTCATTCAATACGAGTGGATAATGATTATTGCTGACTTGTTTATTTTGTTTCCAGGTAAGAAAAAAAAATTAGTCCAACTTGTCTCGTTAAATTTCTAACATGGAAGCAAAATTACTACTGAAAATAGTTAAATATAAAGTCTAGTGGGAAAAGGAGAGCACTGAAAAATTAACTAATAGTAACTAATTAACATGCATTTAATTATAATTGCCTCTCACAGAACTATATTTAATCGAACCTGATTAAAGCAGTTTTAAGTCAGCTATAAGGATTTACCAGCAAATTACAAAACGGTAACATTTCTTCAAAGCCTGAGTTAAAGGAGCAAATCAGAATGCAAAGTTATAAGAACATTTCATACATAATCTTGAACTGCAATCTCCAACAATTTTTTTAAGCAACTGTATTCAAATTTAACTAAATAAAGAGTTACCAAATACATGTATTCAAGGGTTCTACCAATGTTGAAATGATTAACACAAGCATAAAAAGCAACTAGAATATTGGTAAAAATCTCAACTAACTTTTTAAAAAAAATAAATTGTGCAATGGCCCTTTGCTCAACCAGTTGATTTTTTTCACTAATGAAATTCAGATTATATCCTATATCTACATAGTGAAGTAAAAATTGACACAACCTTTGAAACTTACCTATTATGCATAAAAAGGCCTGTTTATAAAACTAAATATCAAAACAATGTGGCATCCACTGTTTCAATTAAAACCTCAATACAAACTCAAAAAGCTTTGCAAACTTTAACCATAATGTTCTTGAACATTTTTGCTACTCTGAGTGGGATGTAAAACACCCCACACAGCATAGTCTAAGGAGTGCAAGTTTATGTCCAAACTAGAGAAAGGCCAAAAGTCTGTTAGTTAAAAATCAGTAAAGTTAGCTTGTGCAAGCATTTTTGGGTCCACATGTAGTTGCTCACAGGGTAGCTGGCTTTAAACCATTGCAAACATTAGAACCTACTTTTTCTAAAAACTTAAAGAATGTAGGTATCTTTGTCCCATTCAAGACCATGATTTGGGCTGAAGTACCCCTTACATCAACTGATGATGAGTACCAACTCTCAGGGAATACTTCAACAGTGACACATGATTCTTGAGGTAGTTGAGCACTTTTCCTACCTCCTGACACTCATGGGCTCAGTGAGAAGGTGCTTTTGCATCTTAGTATATAGTTTAACACTAAGTCTTTATGTGCAACTGTTCTGGTGGTCTTGGGGTACATTTTGTGTCAAATGACACAAACCTTGTTGGGGATACTTTTATGGTTGATTTGTGTACAAAGCAAGACTAACAGTGATTTTTGTCCTGTGAAGCCACCACTTTCCAAATATTATTGAAAACTTTGTTCCACATTCAATTTCACATCATTTGGTGGGAGTTTTTAGTTGTTTCCTCACTCCATAGTCTGTTGGCTGATTATTTAATGTCAAATTTTGTACAATGGGCACAAAGTGAGAATCAAACTCACTACTCAGTGGTAATAGAGAACCAAACTAGATTCACAAATGATTACCCCATGCCAAGGCACCCCACCCTGTAATTGCAATAAACTAACCTGAAATAGAAAGAAAAAATCTTATAAAGCAATCTCCAAGTGATAGCCAATAAGAATAAAACAAATTATGTACAATTTTTTTTTTTTTTTTTTTTACTTTTCTTGAAATGAGTAATTATTTACATGAGAAATATTCAAAGTTATTTGTCATTTATCATTGGTAAGTGTGTGGATCTTTTCCATGTTGTGTTCAATGGCCTTATGTAGATAGTTAAGCCATTCCATATCATCTTCACAGGTAATGTGAGAGCCACTACAAATAGCAAAGGAAAAAGGCAGTCAAGATATATTCAAAATACCATCATGTGAAGAAAATTTGAATAAAAAGTTCACAAAAACAAAAACAGACTATACAAAGATTTTTCTAATATACAACTTAGTGATCTGACCAAAATGTTATCAAATCTGTGTTTTGCAGAACAAAATCAGAATCTGCCAACTATTGTCTGATATGGCGTGAAAAAAAAAAAATCAGTTTTAACATTTAGCATTCTGCATTATTAATATTACTTCACTTTCCACTGCATAATTTCAAGGCTTCTCAATTGCAGTATAATTGTTAATTTCACTCAAAGTTATTTTCTATTGCCTTAACAGGATATGACAACACAAGTCAGGGATCAAAGTCACCTTCAGTGACAGAATAAACATTTTGTACATCAAATGAAATTACAGTAATAACGGTTAAATGGAAAACATTTATCACTTATTTAACAAGTTTAGGTAAAAATAATTAATTTTAAGAAAATAAGCCTTTTTACTAAACATCAAAATGAGATTTGCTATTACATTAGTTGGAAAAAAATCACTAAGATTTATAAAATGCTAGTTGTGTTGAAATTACACATCTTTTGTTAAATCCAAAAGTATTGGTTTCCCCATGGTTTTTATAAAGTATTTTCATATTCTCCAATAGCTGTCAGTATAGAAAAACAAGTCTTTCTTGACTTTGTCAATCACTTTGTTTTGATTTATTGATTTCTAAAACACCCATACAGAATTAGAAGCATGTATACTCATTTAATAAAAGATTATAGTATGCTTAAATGAGTTCATACACAAAGTTAATTCTTTTCTAAACCATTATAGACCAAGAATTATTTTTAGTTGTACAAATGTTTAAAATGTAATATATTCTTTATCATATTCTCATAGGTTTTCCTCCTTTTCTAAACAAAAAAATAATAATTTGAAGTATTGAAATTAAATAACATTTTGATTTATGAAAACAGTAATTCAAGTACAAATACACTGATACACCAACAGTGGCAGATAGCAGTCAGTATGTAAAAAAATAGTGGTAGGTGGTGCCACCATACCTTGATGTCGTGAAAATGTCCAGATCTATAGCAGTTGTGTTCTAGCATCTGGTTAGTCAGTGTGAATGCAGGACAAGCTGCTTATGGCAAGGCAACATGAATCAAAGTTAAAACAGGGCATGATAATGAGTGCCAAATAAATGGACCATTCTCTTTCTGAAATTGTGGGGGCCATCTGATAGCTCTTGATCTACAGTGTTACATGTGAATATATTATAAAAGGTATGGTTGACCACATGTCTTTAATGAACATGACCAGAGGTGTCTGGCTAGAAATGTCTGCAATTACAGTTCAAATCATATCCACATTCACTGACCAGCAAAAACTACATTGCTCACTTTGTAATAATTTACACCCCATTCTCGGACTCTGTATACCCCGACAGTGATGGGTTATTTCAGCAAGATAATGTACTACATCATCAGATCCAAACTGCTCAAAATTGGTTTGAACAGCAGTCTGGAGACTTCCAAAAAATATCATGGCCACTGCATTAACTCAATCAAATATTTATGAGACATACTGCAAAGTCTATTTGCATGCAACTTGTGGACAGCTACCAAGATAGTTTGGCTGAACATCTCTCCAGAGGTCTTCCACACATTTGTGAAATTGATACTATTTTGAGTTGCTGCACTTCACCAGGTTAGAGATGGAGCCTACATGATACGAGGCACCTATCCCATGACTTTTGGCACATCAACTTATAACATATGTAAGTTTACTATCAAAAAGAAAATTAAAATGTTTCTATCCACTTCTAAGATTAAAAAGCAAAAGTACTTCTTTAAGTTTTAATAAGACAAGTTTCTGAAGCTACACTTTGTGAACTAATAATAGAAGCAATAAGCCAATTTTTTTGTCATCAAATTTTGCAGCTTTTTGAGTAGTACTTTATATAGGTTAAATCAATAAACATTTAAAAGCAATAAAGTCACAAAATCACTTACCCAAGACAGTTTAAGAAATTCCTTAAGATCTCTGCCAAATGTTCTGCCTGAAATTAAAAAAAATAAATACATTTTAAGCAGCCCAATTATTGATAAATGAATTTGAATAGCATTTTCTGACACTTAATATTAAATTGTGCCTTTTATTAACTAAAAGAGAGAGCTCTTTTAATGTAACTGCAAATAATGGAATTCTATTGATAGACTAAAAAATGAATTCTAACAAATTCTCAATTATCTGTCACTGGATTATTTGCAAATCAATATTAGTTTTTGTAAAGCACATTCATAACTTTGCATGTCATCAACATCACCTGGGTCATAAAAAATGTTATTCATTCAATCAAGTATATGAGACATTTAGAGTAATTCAGAGCCTTGGTTCATGTCCTGTGCATGCCACTATAGATTATAAGGACCACAGCCTCACCACAGTAGGTGTTGCTGCTGTGGTTTCTATAGCAAGTAATTTTTATTATAGAATTGTTAGTCCCACACTCAACTAGTTTTGAAATTCACAAGTGTCCTCCTACATTAGTTATCAACCAAAGTTAGAGCCTGTTCAGCCTTGAGATTAACTCCTAGCTGTGGGAGTTAAAAATGGAGACATTGCTTTTGATTTGTTATAAAAATATTTAAATGGTGAACATATATGGCTGAATATTGAAAGTAGACTGATGCTCAATTGCTTTTCTTAATTGTTTCACTTGTTAGTAAAGTTTCCAATACTGTGATTCCTACCCTACTCGATGCTGAACGAGGTAAGAATTCAACAAATTGTCATAAGTGAAAATATACTGTATTTCAAAGGTATCTTCATAAAAAAATAAAAACTTCGAAGATCTAATTTTTCATATATTAAAGTTTTAATATTTTCTTTATATATATGTTAGATGCATAGCAAAAAAAAAACAAAAAAAAAAAAAACAATTTTCTGCTGTGTATTCATCTCATTTTAACAACAACAAAAAAAAGGGATTGTTAATAACTTTTGCACAAACTTAATCTATTCATAAAATTTAATCTACAACATCTGAGGATGGAATTTTTTTTTTATTCTCTAAATTTCTCTATTGTAAGTAATTTATAAACCAGAAACAATACTAAAGCATGAACTGCTTGACCTGAATGTAGTTTCAATGTAAATTAAGATTTTTAAATTGCTTCCCTTGGACTCTTAACATAAAACAAGGAAATCCTAGGCCACAGATGGCAAACCTTTATGGTGGTTGGGTCATTTCTGGTGCTTTTAAATTTTTCATAATCATAAATGGGTCACTCATATGTTTACCAATATTTTTTTTTAATGAGAAATTTGTTGCAGCATCTTAGCTGCTAATTTTTAAATTCGAGGTTCATACTTTGTTGTCTTCAGCTTAACAAAAGCAGCATTCATATCTATATGAAGGAGATTCCTGTTGTTGGTTTATAGTTCATGTCGAACCATATTTCATGACATCATTTCACTAACACATCATGGTTCACTAAAAATGTGTCAATGACTCACCATCCCTCTCCTAATTTTTTTTTCACAGTACAATAGACTATTTAACATGAAGCAAGTAAAAAGGTACTGTCCAATGAGAGTAAAGAAAAAACTGTATTACTTACATAGGCACGAACAAGGCGATGTCTCATTGGTGGATAAAGAGCAATACCCAACTGGTCAACTGCAGGACTCAGTTTCTTGATGTGATCAGCCATATCATCATACTCACTTATCTGATGGAAAGTGTCACAATGTCCACCCTTTTCTGTGGCTTTCATTGCTTTCTTTAGAGAGTAGTTAGCCACTTTAATGAGACCTTGGCATGGTCCAAGCAGTGTTCTGTCCTCTTCACTCCACTCATCTTCATTGCTCAAACCCTGACCAGACTCAATTATCAAATCATCAAGGTCATCAAACTGACCACCGCCAGCCATTGTCTGTGGTCAAGAGAAAATTTCACTTAATTAGTTATTATATTACAAATCTACAAAAAGAATTATTACACTAGATTAATTTTAGCTAAGTCAATTAAATTTTATTTTCATTTGAAACTGTGCCACCAATCATTCCCTAGAAAACATGTCACCTGTAACATGAGTACTTTTTAGTTTCAAATAAATAGGCAGGGATGCCTATTCTTTTTTGAAGAAAAATACACCTGAAATATCCTTAATCCAATCACCCCTTTTATTAATTCAGGAAATTTCTTCTCACTCCTTAATTTAGGCTCCAAGCATTCTAGAACAAAACATTTCATTAGTGAAAATCTAAGAAAAAAAAAAATTCCAACCACTCTCTCTACCTGAAACTAAAGTGTAGTTTTTTTTAAATTTATCATTTCAGTCACCAGCTTGTGATGATTTTGCTAACTTAAAACATGAAATGCATTTCTAAGTGTATTTACAATACTTAAAAGCATGAACATTTTTCAAAGATAAAAAAAAACATATCAAAATATTTATTACATGTAAATTATTTCATATTTTTTTCAGTTTTGAAATAAGAGTAGAAAATCAGCCTAAATACAATAGTTGCTCCAAAAGTGACGTCTCTTATTTCATTATGTTGACAATATGATAATAGAGATTAAGTCTTTCTATGATTTCCTCTTTATTTTTTTTTAAATTTACCTACAACAGCTGAATAGTAGTTTGGCAACATGAGAATGTATATGAAACAGAAATGTATTATCAAATTCCACCATGAAAAAAAATTGAACCCTTTGACATTCACCAATGCTTGCTGAATGTTTATGAAGACCAAACAGTGGATGTGAGTACAGTTAGTGGATAATGCATTCCAGCAGTGGCATTTTCAATGGGTGCGAGAAGCCACATTCTGGACAGCCCTGCATAGTAACAGTATAGTCAACCCATAAAAATGTTTATTGTTGGTAAAAATGCAGAGCCAATAATAGTGACAATGCAGAAAAATAGTGTTTTGTAGCTGGAGACATGCTTTAACTAATAGTGTTATTGTGTTCTCTCTACCTATTGTAGTTTTTTTTTGTGAACATAAATGAGTGGCATTACTTTCAGAGTTCCCATTGAGATTTTTATTTCTTGCTATTAAAATAAAAATTTTTAAAAAAATTGAGTGAAATATTTACCTCTTCTAGTTCTCTAAGTGCATCCAACAGAAGACCAAGAGACCATGTCATCAGTTCAATAACAGCTCGTTTGTTATCTGTAAGCAAAAAATTGTTGTTATAAAATTAAATATGAGCTATGATAGAGTAACAGTAGAGAGAATTTACACAAATTCAATTCAACTATCGTATTACTGCAGACCTAAAAACGCTTTCTAGCATTATATAAATTTTATAGAGAAAGACTATTCTTATTTCAATTATGATGTTCTTGCAAAATTCATACTACACCCAGGTCACTATATTTGCATACCTATAAAATTCAGATCTTAAAAGAACATTTTTTAGATTACAGCTCTGCAATTCATCATAATCTACCAGTTGTACAGCCTTCCATCTATAATATCAGCATTCTGAATGCAGTATAATATTTGAATACTGTTTAATAAGAAACAGGGTTTGATGGGACAAGTGAATATAGTACAATATACTATATATTGTCTATTTTAAATATCTAAAATATGCTCAACATATTGAGAACTGTTCAACTATTACATCCCAATAAAAAGAATTCTCGTACATATCAACATCAAATCTAAAAATGGTATCTACATAGCTTAGTCTGACACAAGACCACAAGTGAAAGCCACCTGGTGAGAACCAAACTCATAGCATCTTGTTAACTATTACTTCACCACAAAAAACTAGAATGTCAAAGAATGTTGATGGGTATTATGTTGCATGAAATTCACTTAAACTTTATTATATCACATAAATTGGTAATGAAACAGGAAACAAACCTCAATGTGTTTAAAAGCAGTTGAACTACAAAATCAAAGCTGTCATGATAACACACAGTGATTATTACTCTATTAAGCAACCTATACACCACACTTTCCAAGGTTTGCATAATTAGATTAGTTCATAAAGAAACTAACCTGGATATTCAACCTTGTAAATCATGGTATGTTAAGCAATGTTTCCTGTGATTGAAACAGTAAAACCTTTTAAATCATTCTATCAAAAATCTCACATACCAAAAAAAAACAAAAAAAAACACTACATTTCTTCAAAATTAAGATTGAAAATAATCATTGTATAAAGGAAAAAAAGTAACTTTCTTAGGATCATTTAAATTTATTATTCTAATTAGTATTCTCCTTTTTGTTGTTTTTATTGTGATTGCCAGTTCGGTCTTTCTTCAGCCGTGGCATTCAGTAATTTGTAACTATTTCTTTTTCAAATTAATAAGAGAAAAAAAGGATACCACTCAAAGATTAGTGGTTGCAACATACTTTGTCTTCAAACTCATAAGCCAATTTCACAAAACAAGCAAATATATTTTGACCAATTCACAAAAAATGAGTGAAAGAATGCATTCTCAATTTGTACATTATTAAATGATTACTGTTGAAAATATTCATGCTTAATGGATCATCTGAGCATACAGCTATTAAGAAGCTATGGTTAAAAATTATCTTAGGTACATTACCAGCCATTTTAAAAACAGCTCTTGCAAATTGAATTAAAACAACTTAAAAAAAAAAAAAAGGTTTGATACATTTATTAGAAATTCTACATAAATCTTCAGTTTCATATGTCCTACAAATTAGCAGGAAAATATGAAGAGCACAGGAAAAGATTAAAAAACAAAAATGGGAGAGGATTCTGGAAAATAAAATTCAATAAATATTGTGAAATTAAGAATAAAAATATCAAATTGTGAAGATATTAGCAAGAAACACCAAACATGCTGTAATAGAAAAAGTAGATTGCAAAATCCATAATCTTCATCCGGTTAATGTGGTGATAGAAAACCAAAGGTCCTGACAACACAGGAGTTTTTAAACCATTTTACAAGATGTCACTGCTTAAGATTGGCTAAGAATAAAAACTATTTGTATTTTTACATCCTATAAAATCAACTTTGAGTGGATATTTTTTACAGTAGCAGTATATAATATGGAGACGTTTTGATTGTCATTTTCTTCTTCATACATGCTTATTCCATAATAACCATTATTAACAAATTCTTTACACACTGTATACTCCATGGATCTAACTGCCAAAATTGGAATTAATCCAGGAAATTCTTATGTTGTAGAAAATTCCATAAGAGTTTCATTAATACCTACTGTCACCTACAATCATTGAGGAAATAAGATGGGGGAAACTTAAAATATGATCAATAAAAGATGACCTGTTTACCTTTAGGTAAGTTACTGAAATAGTCAGAATGTTCCCACACTACGCCTGTTTTTTGCAGCATCTCTGGAGAACTAAGCAGACAAAAAGGCAAAGAATCAAAAAATCAATATCAAAATACTGGCATATTAAAAACTGAGCCAAAAAAAAAGTGTTTGTTATGTAAATGGTAGTTTTCTGTTTGTATATTCATTACAACAAATATCCAGAAACCAAGACCGTTTCTAAGTAAATTTTATATGGAAACTTATTAAAACATTTATTGAACATGATCTTATATTAAATATCAGGATATAAGGAGTTCGAATTTCAGATAATTAAATTAAGATTTAAACAAACATTATAATGTTATTGAAAAAAAGAACAGATACTATGTTTTCATATTAAGCAGTTGTAAAAGAAAGATAAATGCAAACCTTTGTAATATTAATTAATTAATAAGTGTGTGTAGAGTGGGACCTATATATATTATATAAAGAAAGTGCTCAATCAAGAACTAGAGTGACAATAATCAATAAATTAATAAAAATTCAACTGACTTCAAAGTTTTGCAGACACACCACTCATCAGTTTCAGATTTATCTGCCAGTTCATGGATTGATTTTGTTTAGCAACATATCAACTTCTATGCACTATTTAATGCCAAAATCTAAATATTTAGAACACACTTTTATGGCTTCAACTACAGATATCTTGAATGCAATTGTATACCATCAATTAACAAATTATGTATTGCTGGTCATTTTGCTTTAAAACTGTATTGTTGGTAATTTTACTTTAAATATGTATTATTGATAATTTTTTGATATAAAAATGTATTGCTGGTATTTTTATATTTTTTATATTATATTTTCATAGTGTTTTGTTTTTGTTCGGGGGTGTTCAGTAGCTGCCCATAGCTGGGAGCCTAACAGGTGCTACCACCCCAGGTCAGGGTAGACATGCGAACAGCAATTAAGAAATGGTTCCACGCTCCTCAAACCCTCCAATCTACCAATCAGAGGCCTTGTTGACAGATGTAGTTTATCGTCATACCCAAGATTATGAAAGGTAAGTCAATTGAACTTTTATTAATTTATTGATTATTGTCGCTCTATTCCTCTATTGAGTACTTTTTTTTTTTTTTTAAATTCTGTTGCTCATTTTTAAATTAAATTCTAGTAATTTTATGTATTTTGATAGGTGTTATTAATTTGTATCATAATAATAATAGTCTGAGACAGACATATGAAAGGGAGCTGAAAATTTCTCAGCCCAACCTACTTCTCAAAATCTGTATTCTGGTGTATGGTCATTGAAATACTGATTTGGAAACAATATAAATAAACACTCCAGTGTGATTAAATATATAATTTTAAGAGATTTCTAAAATCTACTAAAATTGTATATGACTCACTAACTTAGAGATTAAAGTTAAACCAAGACCAATGTCACCAAGCCAACTTTAATATTGTTGACCTGGCAACATGCCACATGTGTTACTTACTTGGGTTAGAGAACAAAGAAAGCATACTCAATAGAAACTATGTAAATAATTATTAAGCTTAGCCTCATTTGGCACACAAATACAATTGTGAGGCACCACTGAGGATTGGAATCATTTGCAAGCCAAACCTGCTGATCAATGCTCTATAGCACACACACCACAAATATATTTACTAAGTATGCCACAAAATCAAACGACAAAATAAGGACTGAACACACTCACAATGACTTGTAAGACTAACTTGTTAACCATCACAATATGGCAAGTACCAACAACTATAAGATTTTTTTTTGTTTATACTAGAATTCAACCAATTTGAGGCACGAGAGACACTCAAGGTAGAGAGTTACTGAATGAGGTGTGTGATAGGAAAGTGGAGGTAGTAGATAGTGAAGATTATGAAGATAGAAAAAATTGACCTTTGTCATTGAAGTTAAGCTTGTAGAGTTCAATAATGTATATACACATATAAATGCAGTAACTGCAGGCTATTAACAAGCACTTCCTGAATTTCCATTAACTAAATGGTACTTAAGAAAATTAAATTATTTCTTAAAAATTGGTTTTGAAACAGAAGAAATTAATTTTATCTGATAGTTAAACATGAATTTGTTTCCAGCTGCTTTTTTTTCAATTTAACAGGCATACAATTAACATGAAGATGCCATTTAATTTACAGCAAAGTTTAACGTTCAGATGCACAAAAATATTTTCTCTTAAAAAAGATGGTTTTTCTCTTGACCCTGCTATTACTGTATACGCCATCAGCAATTTTTATGGTTTTAAGAAGCTATTTTCACAATTTTAATAAAACTGAAACATATGAAACTAGATTTATACATTCCCTTTTTTCTCGAAAATTGACAACAAAAATATTAAACACTATTAGATTGTTTACAAGAGTAATTTTACATTAACAAATTTATAAAAGTATGTGAATGCAATATTTATTAATTACTATATTATAAAGAAATGATTATGAATACAATTATTTTATTTATAAATTTACAAAAATATCTGCAAACAAGAAAATTTAAATAAACATATCAATAGTAATTATAAATTTTAAATAAACACATTTTCCAAGCATTTCTTTCATTTGCTCTCATCACATAAATCTCCTAAAACAAGCATTTGGAGTTATATTTATTTTCTTCTCAAAAACTAACAAAAATGTTAAACAGTTAGACTTTAATTACATGAATAGTGTTTAATATTTTTGTAGTCAATTTTTAACAAAAAAAAAGAAAAGAGAATGCATAAAAATCCAGTTTCATGTTTGCATTTTACTAAAATTCTAAGAATAGCTTTTTAAAACAATAAGAATTTTCAAGGGAGTATATAGTAACAGCAGTATCAAGAGAAAAAACTTCCTTTTGACACCATTTCTTTTTGCAAGTACAAATGTTAAACTTTGCTTGATTTACATATTAAATTTTTATTAGATAAGAAAAAATAATGCTCAATGATTTTTGCTGCAAAGTATTTTTTCCTTAAAATTAATAAAAACAAACATTACATTCAGATTACAAAATCATAATTACAAATAGTAATCTTTTTGTTTGAAATGATTTTTTAAATTTTACTTTTCTGATGATATCAAAACATTTTAACTATTAATAAAGACAAAACAGTCTGTGTGAAACTTGATTGGAGAGAAAACAAACATTATAAAGGCACAGGTTATAGAAGATGAAAGAGTATAGCAAAAAAGAAATTATTCACCTGGCCATACCAGTTTGAATGGATTTGACAAAAGTCTGAACTTTAGTTATCAAATCTAAGGTTGACTTTTTGAAAGAATCTCGCAACAATAAACCTGAAAAAAAAAAAAAAAAAATCTAATAATTTGGATTAATTTCCACCTTACATTTAAAAATCAAAAAATCAGAATTCTGATAATATTCAATTTCACAGCTTTAGATAAAATATGAAATATACAGAGAAATCAAAAAGAAATAGAAAATAGACATCATTGTTTAAAGGAAGCCAGTAGTAATGGAACATTTTTATAAAATTTGCATAGTAACTGCATGGAACATTTTCTATATAACCTCATTTGTATCTGATCACCATCTATTATGATTATTCATTAGGATAGTGAATAATGCCCATGTAAACACTACACACACTATTTCCTATCAATAACTATATACTATCAATAAATGTTAATCTTTTTGTCAGGGTGCCTATTTGGAAATTTGAAATGGGACAGAGATTTTGGTAGGACATGACAGAAGCAAAAAAGGATCTTACCTTGAGATTTTGGCAAAGAGTAAAAATTTGATACAAGGGCTAAAGAGGCTGTCTCAAGCTTGCTAAGCATTTTTCTGACATTCTGAAAGTGAAAATTGAAATGGAGGATAAAAAAAGGTTGGTTTAAATACAAAATAAAAAAGTGTATAAATAATAGATATAAGATTTTGTTTCTGCATTAACAGAAAAGGATTAAAAAAAAAAATTCAGAATTATTTTTATCAAGTAAATTGACTGAAATGTCAAAATCTAACATCTTTCCAAAATTAAAGATCTATTACAGGGTGTTCAAAAGTTGCCTCCACTAAAACTAAAAGAACAAATGTAACAATCTGATACTAAATGACAACTTTTCACTGGACTATAATAATAATAAAATATAGACAAATTTTACTACTTATTCTTTTAAAGAAAAAAAGAATTGATTTTAATCCTGGTCAATTATTGATAAAAAGAGAATATTTCTACCTTACACAGATTTTCCTCTTATGCCCAAGAAATCAATTGACAAAATATCACATATATATATTGAGAGAAATTTTTGATTTTGGATTTTCTTACTCTGGCAGTGAATCAAATAAGAATTAAATAAAAGTCTTCAATGGGTATTATTTTACTATTACACCCGTCTCATCCACGACTATTATTTTATGCATTTTAAGTAAACAACTTACCAATGACAGTAAAGTAAAAGCAGAACTGATCATGTGCATTCAGTCAATAAGGGAGACGGGTGTAATAGTAAAAATTTACCAGTAATTATCCTGGAAAAATCGATAAAATATTTCACCAATAAAATGTCACACACTGGTAGTATAGAGGGACCCTAAGAGTAAAAGTGATATTTCTTTTAACTAAGAAAAAATATGGCCCTAAGTGGCTAAAATATCCCTTTGGTTAGTTTATGGAGAGCAAGAAAAAAAAAACTTACCTCAGGGGAGGGATAAGGAGATTTAGAGAAAGCCATGCTGATGATAGTTACTTCATGTGACAAGGATTGACTGATCTTTTCTGTTAAGGAATTTAAACAAAACAAAAAAAAAATCCTTTTAAGAATGCTTCCAAGAAACAAAAAAAGTCTATATATTAATATACAATAAAGAAAGTTTTTAACATTTTTCTTATATTTGTGAAAATGCCTTTATAGGCAAATATAAAACATTTACATTTGATGGCATAAGACCCTTGTCATTTGCATTTAATATTACAGTATTATGCAACTCAGCCAATTTACAATTACTGGTAGTTTATGGTGTCTGTAGAAACAGCTTACTAAAAACCTCAATTTCATATATAAGACCCAGACTTTTCTTGAGAAAAGAAAGAAGAGTTTATATGCCATCAAATATATAAATGTTAAATATAAAATATCATATATGCAATTCTAAACAGTACTTACCAATTCTGTCCCAGTAAGCAACCTTTTCATAGTTAGAGTTATCTGTTTGCTGAGATTCACCATCTTAAAAAGATTTAAATTAAGAGAATGTTTAATAAATCTTATAAATTTTTCTCGTTTGTTTTTTGCGTAACTTAAGAACTGATGTGACATATAAGAGTTAGTTTCATTTTCAACAACTGATGACTAGCAAACATTACAGAATCTCAAAATTGCAGCTACCACATAGGTATGTATTTATGTATAAACAAAAGATGGAAAACTTGATCCTAATCCCAAAAGAATGAAAATATTACTTTGTGATGGGATACAAATGAGATTATTTGTATCTGATCCCCTCCACCATTGTTATGTCTGTTATAATTATTCTAGTATACTCAAACTTTTTCTTCAAATAAGACTTACACTTAAAATGACAGCAAACTTTTGGCATCTCATCTTTCCTGATGAAAAAGAAGACTAGATGAGATTTCTTTTAGTATTTTAATTTTTTTATATGCCAAGTTCTTTTATGTCATAAATATATGTGATTTATAATCCTAACCTGGGAGAAATAGGACCTCCTAGAACATTTTTTATCATTCCTATTTACAAATGAAATCTTATTCTATAGCTGATTTAATGATTATTTGCTTTTTTATTTTATGGTGTTCAAATGTTGTATTTTTAAAAATATCAACTATATGTCAAGAAAAGTTTATAATAATTCTTAACTTCATGACTGATAAAACAGTCTAAGCTATTGCCATAGTTTGGATACTAAGACTATGACTAACTCCTATAAAGCAAAGGTACTGTGTCTACATGGTATTGTGGGGGTGCATACAACATTTAAATGAGTGTCTGGCATAGAGTTTTGATTTACACTCCAGTGAAGTTAATCCTCAAAGTTCTCCACTATTCTGGCCTTCTACCAGTCCAGACTCAGCAAATATTAACAGTATGTAAATATTAGACTTCATAAATTCTGTCATTCCGTTGCATTCACTTTCACACAGGCCCCTAAGAGAAGCATGAGCCCACTTTCTCTCACAAGCCATGGATTAAATAACAGTTTAGATTAGGCTCTGTGGCAGCCATAGGAGACAGGCTATTCTGAATTCTGAATCATGGAGAAGGCAATGGGAAACCATGCCACTATTCTTCACAAGAAGTCATGGCAATTTGCAGATAAAAAAAAGAAAGGGAGAGCCATGATCATCTACACCCCAAAGAGATATGACATATGCCATAAAGAAAAAAAAATTAACATGCCCAGTGTCTTATATTGGGCTTCAGATACTCTGAATATAGAGTTCAAATGTCCAGGCTGATGAAAAAGTTATTGTGACGTTGTCATATAATGCTGCTGTTATACATATGAAGTTTATAGAAATACTCATTTAGCCATGTCAAAATTGGCTGTATACAATGTGGTATCATAGAGTTTCCAGACTAGTTCTGTAGTGCCCCAACTGGTGACAACACACAGTTGCACATGCAGTGAGAGCTAGCAGTGACTTTCATGTGCCAGTGTGCCATCGCTGTGTTCACTTCACAAATTGTGAAATTTGTGTTTTTGAGATCATGTGTATGATGTAGCCTGTGATTTTGTCATGAACAGGAAGTTAGAACAAAGAGCCAACATGAAATTTTGCATTCAACTTGGGAATTCTGCTACAGAGACATTGAGCATGCTTTGGCAAGCTTACGGCAACAAGTCAATGGGTCGTACACAATGTCTTCGTGTCACACAGGCATTTCAAAAGCAGAACATTCCTGGAAGATAACAAGTGATCTGAAATACCTGCCATAAGTGTCACTCCCGGAAATGTGGAGAAAATTAATCAGCATGTGTATGAGGATCGTTGAATCAACAATATTGTTGATGTTATTGATCTATTGTATTGGTTCGTGAAAAAACTTACTAGTTATCTCCCCTTAAACTAGTGACATTAAAATTTAGACAAAATATACAAATATACTTTGCATATTATATAAAATTACATATAGCAATTAGATAATTCTCAGAAACTCTTCATGTTAAAAGTCTATGATTTATAATAAGAACTAAAAGTTTGTACAGAGATAGTAGCCTAATAATTAAAAAAAAAAAAGCATTTACATATATTTTTCAGTATAATCTCCTTCCTTATCCATCACTTAATTCAGTGATGAATATTAATCACACGAATTGGGCATTATACAGTGAACATTTCAGATCAAAATTCAGCTATCATTTATGAACAGTCTTATTGATGGAATGAATTACTGACAATTGGTTTCCTTTTCTAACAATTCCTGCTTGTTTCATGCATTGTTTCATTCCAAGTGCAAACCACAATTTAAAAATAAAATAAAAGCCAATTTCTAAATGACAAAATTGTAACTTGTGAAAAAAAATTCTCAAATCTATTTTTTTATATAACTTCTCAACCTATAATGTGCATTTGAATTTTTAGTCACTTCCATTACTACAGTAAAGAATAACAACTGTAGATGTGATACCAAACAATAGCTTGCCATGAGAGGACTTTATTTACACAAGAAAACTCAGATTAAAACACAATCACATCTCTGTAAATTTATGATTAATTCTTCTTAAAATCATCTGCCCAATTGATCTTCTTGGTGTCAATCCTTAAATTACCATTTTATTACAAATATAGATTTTCCCTATTCATAAATACACACTCTACCTCTAATCACAACACAATACCTGAATTTAATCTGGCCTTCTGCCTCTTTCTGAAGCCATCAAATGGTATGATGCCAAGATATTTTCTGCTGCTGATGTCATGATGCCTGAATTAGCCTCATTTTTATTAGCCATATATTTGCATATATTGTTTACTTAATATTATTTTTACCCTGTTCTTTTCTTTCTCTTGTTATTGTTTATTGCAAACTTTTGTTAATTCTGTTTGTTGGGCTTTTCTGCCAATTACATTTAACCATGGCCAATTACTCTACAACACCCAGAGTCTGGAATTACCTTCAACTGCATGAACAAGTTGAACAATTAGTAGCCTAACTAAAGTTCAACCACTATTTTGATATGTCTTCAACATGGAATTCTTATAACTGAACTCTGGTTTTCCAACATACTCAGATAATTGATTCATTTTGAAACTAACATGCAAGCAAAAATAAATGTGTTCTTACTAAGGTTTAAACCTGTTTTCACTTACTTTCCTCTCTAGATGCCAACTGGGATTTGCAATCCAACACAACTGTCATAGTGGATACATACATACTATTATACAGTCATCATTGTTATGCCTGGTATTGTTTGCAAATCATATTTGGTACACATCAACAATATAAATGGCTTGTTTTATTTCATAAAGAATAAGAAGAGAGAAAAAACAGTGTCCACTCCTAAAGAGGTAGCTATGACTAAAGATTCAAAGGACAGTGATGTCTTCCAAAAGCTGTCAACTGAAAAAGATACTACTGATATTAACATTATTTATAAGATAGTAAAATAACAATGGAGAATATCTTCTCACTATGACCTAAAATCAGTGGGAGAACAAATTAAGATCATCTTCTTGTTACAATTTTTTTTAATCATTTCACCCCAAGCAAGGTGATAATGCCACTAAGATACAAGGGGATACTGAGAGTGAAAGAAACCAAGAAAATGTTACTGAAGAGAAGAGACAATAAAAGAACAAGATTCAAAAAGATATGATGACAACTGATATTGCATTTAATTTTTTGAACATGAGGAAAGTAAGAAGCCAGAAGAGAGTTTCACGGGTAAGAAGTTCAAGAGAAGAAATTATTAGAATAGCATTTACAGTTACATCTAGCGATTTCAAAAGTGAAATTATGAGGCCTAGCTGCCAATCTAGTACAATGCTTAAATTCATGAAGTCAAAGAGGAAAGCTCATCAAAATGATTGCCATTTATAGAAAAGACACAGGGAAGTTATGCTAATGTGATGGGAAAGTGATTGAAGCCAAGATGCCAGGTCAGAACTGATAACATTGCAGAGATTTCTTTGGATTTTATGAAGAATATCTAGATACAGAGTAGAAGCAAAAAAACAGATGTGGCAACAATATTCAATGCACAGACAAATGGTAGGAGGCCAAAGGAAAAAGGAAAAGGAACACTATCTGGGCAAACCATCCAAAAGAGAGTGTTCCTAGCAACCTCTATCCATGGTTAAGCTTGGAATCCATGCATCTCCTTACTGTTCCCCCCTCCCCAACTATCATTTTGGGGTTTTAAAAATAAGGGACCTAACTCTTTGCTGATACAAAGATTAAACAAGAAATACTTTTCTATACATTTGTCCCATTGTTCTAGCAGAGGTATAAGTTATATCTAGTTTTTTTTTGGTGGGGGGTCATATCCTTTTTTTATCAACTGTACCCAAGAAGGGGCTTTCTGAAAAATGGACACCATTCAATTCAACTAACTCAATACCAATTAACATAATAAAACAAAAAGGTATAAGAATGAGGTATTATGAATGTTAGGTATTTTCTCAGAAATCAATAGATTTTTTTATCCAACATTATTTCCAAGTAGTTGGAAATGTTAGGTATAAGTATTAAGCAAATTAAGATTGTAGTCTTACTAGATATATTTCATGTTCCAGTGGATAAATAAATTCCCAATTTATTAGATATTGAATTGACGTTTTAGTAAAGAGGTACATTTGACCGACAAAAATCTTAAATGTATCATTGACCTTACCATAAACTAACTATGTAAATATTCTCCCAATTTAAAATAATAAAGTTCAATAAACATTGACATGACAAAAAGTTCAACAGTCTCACATTTTGCTTTAAGTCAACATTATTTTTATTTCTTTTTTTAATACTAAAGTTCCCCTACTACAAGGCACCAGAGCCTTAGAGGATTACTATTAAAATGGTAATGATGAGTGAGGTGTGCAAGGGGAATGAAAGAGGAGATGATAGAAAGTGAAGGTTATGAAGAAGGAAAACAGCAATGTTTAACCTTCATGCCTGCAAAAAACGGTGTGTGATGGTTATTCCATTGGCACTGCAATAACTGTACACTTTTGACACACTCAGCAAGGTTTGTTTTTAAAATACAATGATTAGAATTTTAATAAAACCCAAACATATGAAAATGGATTTATACATTTTCTTTATTCTTGAGAATTAACAACAAAGATATTAAACACTATTTATTTATTAGATTGAATAAAAAATTCATTTTCATAGTTATTTATAAAATCATAAATAATAAATATTACATTATAGTTGGTTTACATATTTTGATAATTTTGTAATTTTTTATAAATTTTTTTAATAAAAAAGATTTCTTTTCAAATTTATTTCTTTATAAAATGAAATCTTTATAAAGGGTAAATAATAAATTTGTAGTTGGTTCACATATTTTTATAATCTTTCAAACAAACCTTGCTGAGTGAGTTAAAAGTGCAGAGTAATAGCAGTGTCAAGGGAATAACCATCCTTTTTGACACACTGTTTTTTTTTGGTGGGGCACAAAGGTTAGACATTGCCTAAATAACAAATGACCCTTGACTTGAAAAAGTCAAGATTGTAGAGTGTTTAGGGTTTGCTTGATTAATTTGTTTTGCAGCATATCAACCCTTTGAGGAATATTTAATGCCAGAACATAAAACTTTTCTGCGTTTAAGGAAGCATTTTTACACAAAAGTCTATTCCACAAAGTAACAGTTCTTGGAAAAAGAAAATAATCATGATCCGCTTTAGGTGGAGGTAGCATGGCATGTTCTGGTGGAACAAAAGAACTCATCTGAACGTTTGCCATGGAAATACTTATATAGAATAATCATTAGCTGTCTGGGATGAAGAGTTATTATTTTTACACTATTTGGATGACATAATGATTGCAAGTTCAATCTCTGGGTCGGGCAGTGTGTACTTGAACTCGGTGGAAACGGGCGGGCAGTACTAAAAATATGAACTAGACGCGATATTCTTAAACATGGGCAGTAGAACGGGAATACTTTATCCTCATAAATTTAAAAAAGATTCAGTGCAGAATTCCCTGTATATTACACAGAATACATACCTGGTGAAGACCGGAGGGCACAACGGTCGAACTGTTGTGATAACAACAAAGATGAGGAAAATAATCCGAATATAAATTAACAGTAACACTAACAGTGACTTGTAATATTGTAGGTAGCTGTGGGAAAGTGGCTGCAGAGTAGAGAATAAAAACCTTCCTCGACAAAACCACAAATGATTTTGAAATCAAAACTGCAAAATTGAGCAGCTTCAAGCCAGATATGGCAGCAATATTCCATTTTTTGGTCTAAATCTGACTCATAAAGCCGATGACAATGATGCCCATATTCTCAAGCAAGAGATTATACGGGAATGGGAGTGTGTTATTACACTGAGTAAGGATTGACCAACTTAGGAGAAAGTCAAACAATTTAACAAAAAAAAAAAAAAAAAAAAGTTTTGTGTTTTATGTACAGAAAACTGGGGTTTAAGACTAAGAGTAAGACTATTTCATTAAAAATAAAATCATTATATCAAATTAGTAAAAAACAAATGAAGGTAAAATTTTGCAACAACTGAACAACACCATAACACTTTATTTTATCAGTTTTATCTCAAGTATAAAGACGAAACGGACTGGTTAGGGTTATTTATGTCATGCCGAAAGGAATGGATGGATTATTTTTGGCCTCTGGCCCCATGTATCCAATGTTCACGTGGGAATACCAATTTAAGCCCAGCTTGTGTCATATTACGTTTAGTGTGTGTATTTGGTTATGACAATGACGATTTTGAACACTTTCCATAAAGATTTTTGTCAATCATGGAAAACGGAAATTTCCTTTTCTTTTTTACGAGTTAAAATTCCTCATAAGAATTATTATGTTTCTAAGTTCTTTAATTCTTTAGAAATTGAGAGAAGGGATATAGAAAAAAAAACATCAAACCAGCAGACCTGCTCCTATTTTTATTCAATTCTTTTACATTCAGACTTTTTTTTCGAAATGTGTTACATGCATATTGCAAACATTTGTAAATTACAAAAAAACAAAACAAACAAATGATTGAAAATTCGGCTGCATGCAACAACTTAATTTCATTCTTATTATTCATCAGAATAACTAAAGATAACCTTTAAAATACTTAACTAAAGATATTCGAAAGTAGATAAGTTATTTATCATAGTCTTTGCTACTAATTACTACTAACTAACTACTCTTAACTCGCACTCTAGTTTGGTTTTGTCATATTTTCATCATAACGCTTCCGCTAAAACTCAGCTGTAAACGAAGCCATTTGACGCCAATCGCACTAAAACAAATAGACTTCTTTAAGAAACAATCATCGTATCACCTCACAAAAACGTATACATACCTTGTAATTGTGAAATTACAAGTCCTAAATTGTCTACAACATCGTTAAAAACATTTTCGCTATGCGGATAGTCAGCCATAGTTGGATGGAGTGGAGAAGAAAAATACCTTTACATGGAAGGGTTCTAAAATAAATTCATTATCACAATTTTTTTTAAATTATTCTCAAAATTAAAATGCAATATTTGATAAATCTGTCAAAGATTATTTTGAGATATCGCATTAAATTGTATGTTCTGTTTTTTTTTTTGTTTTTTAACAAAGTGATGACAGTTACAATGACTGTCCCAACTAAAGGTGTCACATGATTGACAACTCTGTAACTAATTCTAAATCATTAGAGAGTTACTTCAAATAGTTCAAGATGGCCGATCCTGATTTAGAAGCAATTAGAGCCCGCCGAATGGCGGAGCTTCAGCGCCAGCATGGAGTAAGTAATCATTTCTTTCTTGATTACACTTCTAGTGTTGACAGTTTCTAAAGTGTTTATCACTATCTTTTGTGTTTATTGGGGCTTTTCTTTTAACATGACACACCAAACCACGCGACGAAGACGTGCAAGTGACCAGTTAGTTACTCATAAGCTTTGCATTTGCTTATATTTTTAGAATTAAACGTCTGCATGTTTTCTTAAACATCAACCTCTGTTTATAATTTTGTTTCTTTAAATTATAATAGTACGTATAAGGATTTGTGTAGTCATCCGCTGTTTTGTTAAACTTAAGAAATAATATCCGTTGTTAAGTATAAAACGCTTTATTTCCAGTTATTGTAAAAATCCATGGCTACATCAACCAGTCTTCATTTGCCAGGGATTCTAGTGGGTGGTTTGTTTATTTAAAAAACGAGCAGTAGGGTCTCTGGGTTTCTCTTTTTTTGGAGAACCCCTTAAACGATCCTTTTGAAATGGTCGTTTCCTAGATTAAACTATATTAACGGATTTTTAAAAAGTATCAATGTTCTTTTTCTTTTTTAATGACTAGATAAGCAACAGAAATCTGATGGTTAAAAGTTATAAGTAGTAGAAAACAAACACTATTTCACAGAATATAAGTTTACTGATTAACTTCAATGTATGTTAGTAAAAGTTATTATCGGATAAGCAAGCTAATATCGTTTAGTTTTCAGATAAAAATAATCCAGTGTTTTACTTAAGTTCTTTTACAATTAAATTAGTTCACTTGTGTATTTTTTCTTTTAAATTGATAAATTTTCTTAAAATTTTGACAAGCAACTCATCAAAAATAACACTTTTCTCACTCCAATGATTGGAATCATAAACAAATGAAATTTCAGTACACAATAGTTTTTTATAAACTAGCTAAAAAAAAGAATGAACACCGAGCCTAAACTAATTTTAAGTCTGACTAAAAATCACCGAGAAGACACTCTGAAAAATAAAAAGATCTGACTCTAGCCATTATGGTACCACTGGTTTTAAAAATATCAATTTATTTGGTCAGAAATTGATATTGTAGGCGAAACATTTTTGTTTTTGTTTAATTTTAAAAAGTGAAACTTTAATGACTGTTCCAGTCTTTAAAATTTGACCATATCACAATGAAAGAAATTAATTCTTGCAAATAAATTCCTGTGAATGCGTCTGAGCTGAAGTCATTGTTAATTTTCAACACTCACAATTTAAATAAAAATGTATATATCAGCATCAAACATAAAATGCATTTCTAATTGCTTTATAATTACTAGGGGTGCTGAAAAGTTATCTATCTGACCCACTTCACAAAACTTGACCAATACTAAACATCATCATTTTTGCCATATCTGTGATTAATGTGCTTTGAGCAGCCTTCAGAATAAAACAATTTTTTTCTTTATTCAAAATTATTGAGAATAACCAATCATTTTGAACACTAATGCCCTTTCAAAGTGCATGAATCCATCTCTCCTTCCTACAACTATAGATAGGCTCTCAAGCCTTGAGTGGCAACCAGTCTAAGTGAAGAAAATCACAGAGACAACAACAGAAAACCTATCCAAGGATGCATGTTAATACACAAATAATAATAATAAAAAAATAAAAGGAATCTGGAGAGAGCCATAATTACCTCTTTCCTGAAGGGATATGGCATTTTTTAAAATAACAATACTGGTATCTCTACCATGAAATTGATAAATTCTATTAAAACTGATTTTACTATACATACAATGTGTTTAATAAAAAAAAAAAAAACTATTTTCTAAACTGTCAATTGTAATCCTGTCCAGACTTGCTAATAAGTACTTGTAAATAGTGATTAAATAACTTAAACATGTGTGCAGTAAAGCTCGGGGCTGTAATAGATGTAAATGAAGTCCTTCAATGTTTTGATCCAATTAATGCATCTACCATCCTAAATGATCTTTTTGTTTATTCACTTTAAGATCAGAATGTCAGACTATTTTCATTCTTTGTGTTTCCTTTAGGAACTCTTTAAATATTTATTTTTAAATTTTGATTTAAAAAATTTATTTTTGCTTAGCTTTTAGTTAAAAAAAAAAAAAAAAAAAAAAAATTCCTGAATTGTATATATGTAAATTGCTACATTCTATATATTTAATTCATAATTACTATTTTTAAAAAAAGTATACACAAAATACATAAGTTCAATTAATTTCATTTCCACTGCAAAAAATGCTTTCTTTTTAAATGTCCTAATACAAGAATAAATATTACATTGAGTCATTAGTAATTTTTGTTTTTGAGGACCAACTGTAATGAACTTGTCATCCTAACTACTAAGCATACATGGCAGTTAAGAATAAATTTGGGGTACACTAATATGCTTGAGTTTTTGCATGGCAGCATATGCAGTGGATTAAGGAATAAATTTCTCGATCCTCCTACTAATGGAGAGATTGAAAGTGAATTTGCATTACATAATGTTATGGGAGTTCAAGCAGGGAACTAATGCTATGGGAAAACTAAAAAAAATGTGTGGTATTTATGGTCAAGAAGTCATAACTGACAGGCAAGTACAAAATTGGTTTGCGGTTTTATTTTAGAGAAATGTCATTGAAAGATGAACCCAGACTGGAGCAATTCATTGGAATTTGATGATGAAGCTCTAAAGTCATTAGTGGAAAGCAATCCATGTCAAAGTCCTGAAGCATTAGCAAAGATGTTAAACACATCACAATCTACCATATGCTAACACTTAGAAAAGATATGGGGGAAAGTCAGCAAGCTGGGTGCTTTGGTTCCACATGCTCTTAACAAAAAGAGCAAAGCAGATTGTTTATCCATAGTGACAAGTCTCTTTCCATAACAGAAATAACCTATTCCTTAAATATATCATAACAGGTGGCAAAAATGGGTTACATATGATAATGTTCAATGCAATAGACAGTGGACTGATGAGAATAAATCTCCACAACTGAGCCCAAAAGCTGAGCTCCATGGAACCCAAGTAATGTGCATGTGGTGGGATCATCAGAGTATTTTTTTATTTAAAGTTCTTAAAATCCAATGAAACTGTAAATGCACACTTATAGGTCCAGCAGCTGCAACATGTCCATAAATGTTTGGCTGAAAAGCACTTGTCAATAGGAAAAGATGTTGTTCTCTATGACAATACAAAGTCATATACAGCAAATATAGCACAGGAAAAAATTTGTTTGTCTGTTCTATCCCACTCTCCATATTAACCTGACCTTGCACCGATTGAGTATTACCTTTTGTCGATTGCTGAAAAATGATTTCATGCAGAAAACTTTCTCTAATGCTAACCAAATTAATGAGTTTATCATTTCCTGATAATTGACAAGTCATTGCAAATATTAATGGCGAATATATAATCAAATAAAACATGATCTGCTTTTATTTTTTGAAGTATAAAGTTGATAAATAAGCATAAATTATTTATAACTCAACCTGATAGAAGCTTATAGCCACATCACATTGAAACTCTGTTACCTGTATGATCACCAAAGTAAAGCAATATTGAGCTTGTTCAGTACCTAGATGGGTGATCACTTGGTGTTGTAATTTGGATGTGTGGGTGGTGTAATGGATAATGGCTCAGGATTGTTAATCAGAGAGCCAAGTTCCAATTTTCGTTGGGTTTATTATATTCACTTATGTGCAAATAACCTTGGGGAAAAATATGAATCCACTTCTTCTCCTCCCAGCTATGGGTTAATTATAGTAAGACTTGTATAACTAAACCATTATCTCAAAAAAAAATATTCTTACAGTCTAAAAATATTTGCTGGCTTTAAATAACCTGCAAAGGGTTGATAAGCTGTAGAAAATGAATCAAACTTGATAGATTCTTGCATGTAAATAAAGTTCTCTGAATTAATCATTTAAAATTCAATTTAATGTTAAGTTTTTGGGGTTTTTTTTGGTTTTTTTTCCTCCAGAACAACCAACAAATTTCTAAGGAGGAAGCAGAACAGAAAAAGATGCAACAAGAAGAAATGAAGCACTCTATTCTTTCTCAAATTCTTAACCAGTCTGCCAGGGCAAGATGTATGTATTAATTTGTTCCTCTATTTAGATATTACTGTCTAAAATGTTTTTTTTCCTTTCTGCTTAAAGATGCAGGTAGTGATTGAATAACAGGCTTTGATTTTTTTTTTTTTTTTTTTTTTTTTTTTTTTTTTTAAACACTCAACATCTATTCTTCTAAATTATATTCTTGCTTTTATGTAAGGAAAACAGCTAAGTCCAAACATTGTGTTTAGAAAGAATGATACTTTAAAGCACGTTTGACTTGTTTTTTATTTGTTTGTTTCTTTTCTTCCTTCTTTTTACATAGGACTCTTTTAATCAAAAACATTTATGGAATAAATCAGTTAAACATGCCATGTTAATATTTTTTTTCTTTTCAAAGAAAATTTTATCTTTGTTTTTTTTTTTGTTTTTTTTCCTTCAATATAAAATTTTAAAGGGTAATCCAAATTGACTATATAGAAATAATTCAATTATTTTTTTTTTTTTAAAATTGATAAAGGAAATTTTCAAGTCTAAATTAACACTGATACAAATTTGTTTCTAATCATTGATAGCTTTGCTTTTTTGAAATCTAAATTCTTAAAGGGCATAAAATTATTTGGGATAAAACTTGGTCTACCTAAG